ATTTATTTATAAATTTAATTGAATTCTAGACATAAATTTGTATGTTACAAAATATACGTATTTTATAATTTAAATAATATATACTGATATTTAGTGCCGGGTAAAAATGAAGCTAATTAATGATAATAAAAATTAATAGCGTATGCTTTATAATTAGGCCAAAACAAGTGGTAGGCTTTAACTTGCAGTTTCCGCCGGGGTGTCTTTCTTCCACAACTGTTTGTTTTCATTTGAAGAGTTGATAATGATTTTTGGGCGCTTTTTTTGTTTATTTTTTTCCTTTCTCGAAATGGAAGTTGCCATTGTTGAATAAGTAGACTTGTGTTTTTTTTTTTCCGGTCAACATTTCCTTTTTGTCCAATGAGTAGACTTTTGCGGTTGAAGATCGACATAAGTTATTATCCAATTGGAGAACACCCATGCATGTGACTGTAGCCAATGATACTATGATGCCATGGAGCCTCGAAAGAAGTTACATCTTCAAACCTTGTATTTGTTTCTGGATTACAAGGATGCCTTCTTCGCCGTAACTGCTGTGGGCAGCTTGAACGAGAACGTTCTCTTCAGTATGACTAACTCGCCAACAAAGGCCATGCTTTTCCTCTTACTCTTCAGAATCCTCCTTTTCACTATCTGCGTCATTTCCTACACTCCTGATGATAATTTTGCAGTCGATTGCGGTAGCTCTGGCTATTCTCCTTCTTTAGTTGGCCGGAACTGGACCGGAGATATGGACTCAGAAAAATTCTCTCCGATCAAATTCCCCAATGGCACCGAGTCATCGGTAAGTGCCAACGCACCTTTCAAAACAACCCCTTACAATACCGCATGTGTCTCTCGCTTTAAAATCTCTTACTTGTTTCCATTGAAGACCCACGGCCAAAAGTTTATTCGCCTTTACTTTTACCCATTTTCTTACGACCCCAACTTCCTTCGCTCCGAGTCGTTCTTCTCCGTCAGAGTTGGACCTCACACTCTTTTGAAAGACTTCAATGCTTCAGTCACCGCCGATGAGGCTGGGAAAGAAACCATTTTACAAGAGTACTGCGTCAACATTTATGACCCCAGCGAGGGGCTTATGATAGCCTTCTCACCCAACGGATCTCATCCGAACGCCTATGCTTTTGTAAATGGCATCGAGGTTGTCTCTATGCCCACCTTTCTTTATTACACAAACCAAGAAAACCAGCAGGCAGGGATGATGCTAGATGGTGGAACCCAGCATTATCCAGTTCAGAACAGCAGTGCTCTCGAGACTATGTACAGAGCTAATGTTGGCGGAAGTCAGATTCCTTTCGATAAAGACACCAGGATATTGGCCACTTGGAGAGGGAGCGATTGCATAGTATTTCAGTAGTTTTTGGTTTGCATCCAGTGTATAGAGATGATCAAAATTATTTTGCACCTGATGAAGTATACATGACGGCCAGAAGCTATGGGATGAATGAAACGTCTAAATCTAATGTGACCTGGGAATTTGGAGTTGACTCAGAATTTACTTATATGGTGAGATTGCATTTTTGCGAGTTTGATGAACACATTGAAAAAGCTGGAGACAGAGTTTTCCAAATCTTCATAAATGATGTTTTGGTGGATCTTGTTGCCGATGTAATGTTGTGAACTCAGTGTTAGAGAAATGTTCCTGTGCATAGGGACTATGCGGCGTCGATGCAGGGCAAGGGAAGCTTAAAGAAGCTGAATCTTTCAATTAAGTTGCAACCAACCCCAACTGCAAGAAGCACTTACAGAGATGTTTTATTGAATGGTATTGAAATTTTGAAAATAAGTGACAGCAATGATAATCTCCCCCACTAATATCCTCCAAGTCATCGAAAAATAGAAACAATGCTAAGGTAATTTCCATTATCACTGGGGCAACGTGAGGCTTCATCGTGCTGTCTCTTATTGTTCTGCTCATTTTCCGGCAATTCATTAGAGCTCCGGTCAAGGAAGGATCTTCATGGTGGGGACAAAAATCAGTAGACTCGTCCAAGAAAAACAAACCCTGTGGGTCATCATCATTACCGTCCGATTTGTGTCGCTACTTTAATTTTCTATAGATGAAATAAGAGCAGCCACAAGTAACTTCGATGATATTTTCATTGTGGGGGTTGGAGGGTTTGGTAATGTCTATAAAGGCTATATTGATGAAGGAACAATCCCTGTGGCCATCAAACGGCTCAAACCAGGTTCCCAACAAGGCCTCCGTGAGTTCCAAACTGAGATCGAAATGCTCTCTCAGCTTCGTCACAATCATTTAGTTCCTCTCATTGGTTACTGCAACGATGGCAACGAGATGATCCTCGTTTATGAGTTCATGGCTCGTGGGATCCTCCGGGACCATATTTATGATTCTGATAGCCCTCCACTTTCCTGGAAACAAAGGTTGGCGATGTGCCTTGGTGCGGCGCGTGGACTCCATTATCTTCATACTGGTGTGAACCGCAATATAATCCACCGTGATGTGAAATCCACAAATATCTTAATAGATGAGAAATGGGTGGCCAAGGTTTCGGATTTTGGACTATCCAAGATAGGACCCACAGGGTTGTCCAGGTCTCACATAAGCACGGCGGTAAAAGGAAGTATGGGTTACTTGGACCCGGAATACTATAAACGTCAAAGGTTGACTGAAAAGTCTGACGTTTACTCTTTTGGAGTTGTATTGCTGGAAGTATTGTGAGGGAGACCTCCTTTGATACGTAACGTGGAGAAGCAGAAACTAAGTTTAGTGGAGTGGGTTCGAAAATCTCATCACGAGGGTGTGATTCATCAAACGGTTGACCCGTTCCTGGTAGAAAGTATCGCACCAGTGTGCTTAAAAGCGTTTACCGACATGGCACTGAAGTGTTTGGTGGAAGATGGAAATGAACGCCCTTCAATGAACGACGTCGTGTGGGGCTTAGAGTTTGCGTTGCAGCTTCAAGAAGGCACAGAGAAGGTGGGGCTTCTGGTTGATGAGGGCGACATTGAAGGAAAGAGCGAGGAAAGGGCTCTAATAAGGAAAACGACAAATGTGGAAGAAAGAGAAAGCAAAGTGGGTTTCACGAGCAGTGATGAATCAAAAGGACGCAGCTTGACTAGTTCTAGCAGTGAAGATCAATCTTTAGTTTCTGGATTGATCTTCTCTGAGTTGGGACATCCATCGGTTCGATGAAGAAGTAATCCAGTGATATTTGCTAGGTGATGAATTTTAATTTCGTCCTTTTCCAAATAGTAATGACGCCGTTGTATTGCTGTATGTCTGTTACAGCAACTCAACTTTTATTTTCTATCTGTATAAATACAAAATATGCAAGCAGAAAATTAAATAATTACTTCTAAAAGTACGCATGATTTTTTTGTGTTTTTACCAGCAAAAGTACGCATGATTACCAGATGAGATCACACTTCTTAGATGCAATGCAAGTCTTCAGAGTATGATTTTCATATATCTCTCCCAATCTAATAATATATGACTGCAAAATTAAGGGTTCGATTATCTGCGAAATCTTTTCAGACTATTCGTTACCAGCGGCTGCCTGGAAAAAAAAAATCCATAATCCATAGTTCTCACTTGTTGGAATTTAATGTTATTTTACTTTATATATTTTTATTTTAATAAATAGAAAATTTATTATTTAAAAATTATATTTTAGGTTTAGATTTTTTTAATATAAGAAAAGTCAGAGAGTGGGTATTTACAGATTGCCCATCAGTAGGGTTTTTTTCAAAGTACTGAAAACCGGACCGGTAACTAAACCGGTTAAAACAGTGAGTCAAGGGTCAGTGAGTTAGATCGGAGTCAACCCGGAGTCAGACTGGTAAGAATTAAAATAATATATTTTTAAATGTATTAATTATTTTAAATGAAGATTAAAATAAACATAAAAGATATAATGATAAATGTTAAATATGCTGGCAAAAAAAAAAGTCAAATAACTTAGTCCTATCGCCTTTAAGCCATTTAGCGTGCTCAGGAACTTCAAAGCTAGAGGGTAGATACGTTAATTTGTTCCTCAAATACCCAAATGTCCATTGGGTATTTAAATTAACACAATTTTTTTGTTGTTTTTTCTCTAAATGTCTTTTCAATGGTAATTTCAGTGTTTTAAAAGCCGGACCGGATGTCAAGCCGGTAAAGCTAGCGGGTCATGGTTCAAACGGTTGAATCGGTTGAACCGTCTGGTCGAACCGGTAATATAATAATTAAATTAAAAATAATATTTTATACATGTATAATAATATTAACATAATTAGTCAAATTTATTAAAAAGTTAACAAGTTCAACCTTGGCTTTATTTTAATCTAATGAGCTGTGGCTATTTTAAAATTTTTATACATTTTTTCAATGAAGGTTTTTGGCTCCATTAACTCATTTAATATTTAAATTTCATTTATTCAGTTTTTTATTTAAAATTAGTGACAAATTTTTTGGGCTGCAACAGGGAAGATTATTTTTTTTAACTTGGAAATATTGATTGAAAGTAATAATATGCTAAACACACTACATGTTTAATTTTATATTAATTATCATAAATAAAATAAAAGATGACAGTGTTAATTACAGTAATTACACTAATATATGTCTAATTTTATGCTAATTATTTTGAATAAAAATAATATAAAATATAGATTTTAAAACAATTAATTACAGTAAAATAAAGATCGGAGATGCATGCCTAAGGATAACCTTCAAATTTCAAAATGGGCTTAGCAAGTTTTTTTCAAAAAAAAAAAAAATCCTAGAGACTGAACCAGGTACAGTAATGAGTATTGAAAAACGTGATGCACAACTTTTCATCTTCCCCAATCCTGGCATCTGTGTATCGAACTGATAGGGGAACAGTCTTTTATTATTTCTTTTTACTCTTCCTTTCTTTTCAAGCAAATTCTTCAGATGCGTCAAGGAGTCCCTGTGTCGAGTTCACTGCCTTCCTCTAGGGTCGACGGCAAGAAAAGAAAAACACTCCAAGCTTGCTTCTTTCCTCCTCAGTTTCATCCTTTATCCATCTCATGCGATGGATCTGTATCAGGTAAATGAGAAAAATCAAGAAGCCACTTTTTTCCCCTTTAGATTTTTCTATGTTTCTCTTCTTTCTTTCTTTTTTCCCTTCTCCTTTCTCTTTCTTTTTCCTAGCCGGATGGTTCTCTGAAAACCGCTCTGGGTCGCGGCTTAACTCCGATTCCCGGCTCAACAGGCGGCTCAGAACGGTTTAAAACGATCCAACTCCTCAAGCGGTCTAAGTATAGAAGCCGAGCCGTTGTATTGTCCGGTTGCCGGTCCAACCGGTCCAACCTTCCGGTCCGGTCCGGGTTTGGAAACACTGGGTAATTTACTATTTCAAACTCCTCGGTTGCCCTTTTTTTAATTGTTTCTCTCGCCTTTCAAGGGACCGAAAGGGTGGATCCAGCTGGAGTTTTTATTGCTAGGTTCAAAGACAACCATCCACTCTCAAGTCGATCAGTTGTCTGCTTTTTCTTCCTCCTGGGTTTCGTCTCTCCCCTCGTCTGTTTCATGTTTCAGCTATGTATTCAACTCTCATGCTCTGATTCATCTTCTTTAGCTGTCTTTTATTCCATTTATGGCTTTTTTCTCCATCTATTTCTGCTTCATCTTTCTTTTATTCTTGTTTTTCTTCTTCTTTTTCTAAGTTCTCCTTCTTGTCATTATTTCTTTTCTTGGCATCGGAAGCAGGCAGCGCCATTTTCTTCTTAACTCGGTAACTCGCCCAACCTAGTGGGTTATCCGAGTCACGTCCGGGTTATCCCGGTTTAGGACGGGTCGCGCCGGGTTAGATCTTGTCCGGTTTTGCAGAAGGACCGGACCGGATTGATAGCCGGTTCGCCGGTTTCCGGTCTGAACCGGCCGGTCCGGTCCGGTTTTCCATTCCATGGTTTTTTTTATTAACAACAAGATTTGAATTCAAGATCTTATATGTTATAAGCAGACTCTATACCAAGTAAACTAATTTTTGTTGGCAGGTTTAGATTTTATATCAGCAATAAGCACGGCTCAAAACTAATAAACTCGCGAGAAAGGAGTCCATGGAGAGGATATTTGAGAACCGACCTCGTTTTAACGTTCAAGAAAGGTGTGAATCTGTTCTCAATTCTCACCGTCAATTGTCAAAGAAGGAACCGGACATACATGGCTGGTTGATCGTCCATGTCGATCCTTCTCAATGTGCTATTCAATGTGGCTCTTTGCGCTTTTGTTCTATTTATTACTCCTCTGGTTCTTAATGCAGGACCCAATTATTAAGTTGATTTTAATCATAAATATAAGATCTATTTCTTATATTTATCAGTTTTTTCTAAATTATTCCTATTGATACTCCTTCGACCATAATCAAGTAAAAGAGAGAGGAATGATATTAAGAAAGATGATTATAGTATTTTAAGAAAAACATATCATATTTCTTCTAATTAAGTAACTTACCTAACTTCTTTAATCTAATCAAATTAGTTAAATAGATCTTATATTAAGGATCAAATGAGTATTTTGAAAGTTTAAATTGTTGGGGAAAAAAGTTATCAAACTTGTTATTGTCAATATATTTTTTTTTACTATTCAACACTTATTATTATTAATTTACAACTTGTTAATAAATGACTTGTCATTGTCAGTACATTTATTGTCATTTGCTATTCGATACTTGTCATCGATCGTCTGTTCACAATTTGTTAATAAACTTTTTGATATAAGAGCATTTTAGTCATTTAATTACACTTATAAAATATCAGATGAGGCACAATTTCCTCCCTTAAAATTTTGAAGTGTTAAGTGCTGGATTTAGAATATTATAATTTTTAACTTTTTTATTGGTCATTTTCCATTTGTGGGAAGTTGCAATGGCTGAGTAATTATTACTGAGTAAACTACTGTGCATCAGAAGTATTTACAAATTACACATGTTATTATCCAATTGGAGAATACGTATACAAGTTTTTGACTTTTCAAAATACGCATCTGACGTAATTGTAGCAATAATTTTTTAAAATAAATAATAATAATAATAATAATAATAATAATAATAATAATAATAATAATAATAATAATAATAATAATAATAATAATAATAATAAAATGTTCATGTGAACTGAAAAGAAGATAAAGCTCACTTCTCGATCCACCTTGTTCATAAGGATCATTTCTTCGCTGTTAGTTGCTCTGGGCAGCTTGAAGGAGAACGTTGTCTCCAGTATGACTAACACAATGGCTATGTTTTTCTACTTGCTCTTGCAAATCCTTTTCATTATCTGCGTCACCTCCTACACTCCTGATGATCATTTCACAGTCAACTGCAGTAGCTCTAGCAATTCTCTACCCTTTTGAAGGACTTCAATGCTTCATTCGCTGCCGACGACGCCGATGAAGGATTTTACCTTTGCTTTGTTTCCGTTCCTCGATGACTTGGAGGATGGCGTGGATGGAGACTGAAGAGGATTCAGACTAGGACTCGCAAGATTGTCATTGTATTCCGTACCTATTTTAATTCAAAACCGTTCAATAAAACATCTTCGTAAGTGCTTCTTGCAATTGGCTGTGGTTGCAACTTAATTGAAAGATTCAGCTTCTTTAACTTTCCATCACCACTTGGCATCGACGCCGCATAGTCCTTATGAATAGGAACCAATAATTTTTTAGTCCACATCATCACATCAGCGAGAGACTCCACCAAAGCATCATTGATGAAGACACTGTTGGTTTCCGCCATCTAGCATTGACGCAGTATTCACGCAAGATGGTTTTTTGTGGGCGTTGGAGGGTTTGATGATGTCTATAAAGGCTACATTGATAATGGTACAGTTCCGCTGGCAATCAAACGGCTCATGCAAGGTTCCAAAGAGTTCGAAATTGAGATTAAGATGCTCTCTCATTTTCGTCACCATCATTTGGTATCTCTCATTGCCTACTGCAACAATGACAACGAGATAATACTTGTCTATGAGTTCATGGCTCATGGAACCTTTCGTGAACATCTTTACAATTCTGAAAACCAACCACTTTCTTGCAATCAAAAGCTGGAGATTTGCCTAGGTGCTGCTCGAGGACTGCATTATCTACAAGCAGGGGCAAAGCATGCAATCATTCATTGTGACATCACGTTGACAAACATCTTAATAGATGAAAACTGGATGGCCAAGATTTTTTATTTTGGACTATCCAGAATGGGACCTTGGGGTATTTCTAGATGTAACATTAACATAAGTACATTAGTGAAAGGAAGCATTGGTTATATGGATTTAGAATACTACACATGTCAAATCTTGATGGATAAGTCAGACGTGTTCTTATTTGGAGTTGAGTTGCTAGAGGTATTATATAGGAGGCCTCCTATTCTCCGTGCGGTGGACAAGGAGCGGCAAAACCTTGTTGAATGGTTTCGAAAATGTGTTGATCAAAATGATATTTATGAGACTCTGGGCCCAAACGTGAGAGGAAGTATAAAACAACAGTGCTTAAACGCATACACTGAGATTGCGTTGAAGTGCTTGGCTAATAATGGAAAGGAACGGCCATCCATGGGCGACGTGATGTTGGGGCTAGAGTCTTTGATGGAGTCGCTGAACGAAGCAGAGAAGACAAAGCTTGGTGGGACTCTAAATGAGGAGGTTACTGTTGAAGAAGGCATAGAGGAAGTGAGGCTTGATGTGGACGAAATTGAAAGAAGGAGCAAGGAAAGAGCTCTGATCAGGAAAGCGACAAAAGGTGTAGAAAGAAGAGAAGGTTTTGCCAGTAGTGATGGACCAAGGAGCTCCTCAAACAGCAGCAAGTTGACGAGGTCAAGCAGCGAGCATCAGTCTTAATTTGCTTTCTTCTGGGCGCCAGATCTTCTCTGACTTAGATGATCCAACAGTTTGATGAAATGAAGGTCACTAATATAGGCTATAGTTGTCTGATGATTTTAAGTTACTTTCATTTCCATATATATGCGTGCGCGGTCAAGAACGTTGTATAATTATATTTCTGATGCACCAAATGATTTCGTCATGTTCTTTTGTATCTGCATATACGAGTAATTATTAGACGGAAGAAAAATTGCAATTATCTTCGACTTATGTTATACACGACAAAATTATGATTGTCCTGCCAAAAATATACAAAATATGATTAAAATAAAATAATTTTTTTTAAATTTTTTTATATTGATTATTGATTATGTTTATTACAAAGCACTCCGCGTATTTTGTACGTATGTGTGTAAGACCAGGACCGCTTTTTCATTAAAAAAAAAAGAATATATATATATATATATATATATATAAATATTCATGTTCAATTGGGGTCGCTACATTCACTAAAATTCCAACTTGCATCTTCCATGAAGTTGTTGATCACAAAAGCACATGACTTCCATGTAGACGCTTTATGCTTCCAGAAGAGTTGGTTTTAGCGGACAATTCAAAGCACCACATGTTTCATGGAAGTGGGTACTAGCAGCCACATCATATTTTAGAGTTATTTTACTGCTACAAAAAATACATTCAATGATGCCATTTTAGAACGGTTAAACATAAAAACGCCGTGAAAATAAAGGTGGTGGTATTTTTGAAATTATAGGGTGTGACGAGTGATTTTTCACGGTAGTTATTAATATAACTGCCATCAAAAAGTTTTTTAACGACAATTATTAATATAACTGCCATTAAAATATCTTTCCATGGCAGTTATTTGTGTAACCACTATGGAAAATTTTAAAATAAACCCTCCTGTTGCGTTTCGTTTTCATAGTTTCACAGTTTCACAATTTCACAGGGTCGTGGTCCACTGGTTTGTCCCATCACTCAAATTGTATTTTTCGGCAAATCCCCACCTTTTACCATCATTTTTGGTCCTCCATTCGCTGCTCTTTTGCTTGTCGCTGTCTTTCACCAACCATTCTCGCCCCTTCTTGCATTTTACTTATCTCCCACTGCGTGAGTTTCCTCTTCATTCATTCTTTTCCTTTGTATTTGTTGTCTTGGATGTTTTGATGATATAAATCTGTCATATATCAAACGGCGTGATTGGTTTTACATTCTGGATGTTTTGTATTATTTATTGAGTATCTTATATGCTTGAGGGGTTGGTTGGTGACATTCGTAGTTGAAAATTGCAACTACTTCCTATACACGGCTTTAAAAACATGTTTAAATGTTCAAAGCTGATTAGTTCTTAAGTTTTTAATATTATTTTTTTATATTTTATTTTGAATTTTTGTCAAATTTTTGTAATAAACTTTGAGAATTTACCAATAAATAATCTGTTAAGTGTTTTCACTAATTTTTTTCCGTTATGAATTTTGATTGATGATAAAGTGTTATTTAAAATTTCATAACAAATAGATATAATTTGTATTCCCATTTTGAATTTAGAAGTTTTAGCTTTGAGAGAGTATCTTTTATATTTGAGGAATTAGTTGTTGATATTTGAAATTTGAAAATGCAATTACTTCCTATACATGGCAATAGAAACATATTTAAGTCTTCAAAGTTGATTAGTTTTTAAGTTTGCAATTTTTTAAATAATTTTTTGATATTTTATTTTGAATTTTTGTAATAAAATTTGAGAATTTACCAATAAATAATATGTTAAGTATTTTGGCTAATTTGTTTCTATTATGAATTTTGATTGATGATAAAGTGTTGTTTAAAATTTTATAACAAATAGATATCATTTATATTCCCGTTTTGGATTTAGAAGTTTTAGTTTTAAGAATATTTATTCATTGAATTATTTTGAAATTATTGCTTTTGTTTTGTTAGTTATAGTTGTTCAAATTTATCCTGCATCTGTTTCTTATATTGTTGATTAGTTGATTGATTGATTTCTCCCTTTTTTAGATAATCTGGGATTCATTATATTCAAGCAGAAATTCTATCAAAATTTTTATAAAATAAAAAACACATTCCTTTTAATTTGTAATTAAGTGTTAGTCAATTTTAACTTATTGACTAACACTTAATTATTTTATTTATTTGAATATTTAAATTAAGCAGTTATAATTGAGCTTGACAACTATGTTCATTGATTCTGTAGAACAATAGATCATAGTTGGATGAAAGCTAAGAGAATTAGCAAAAAAAAAAAAAAAAGAGAATGGGATTAAAAGATTTCTTGAGTTTGTTCAGAGAAATGCCCTTAGTAAAAGAGTTGGTTTGTATAGTTGTCCTTGTTTCAAATGCTTAAATAATAGTTGGCAGAATATTCCTGATATAAGAGAGTATCTTATCTATGATGGGATAAATTTGATGTATACAAATTGGATATGGCATGACGAAATTAGAAAGACTATGTTGTTTGGACAGGAGAAAGTTGTAAATGATGACTTTGGTGATATAATTTCATATATATTTTGTAACATAACGTCTAAGTCCTTTACACAGTTCTTTCCCACATATGGAAGCTTGTGTAGTGATGCAGAGACGCCTTTGTACTCAGGGTGTAAAGATGATTACACAAAACTGACAACCGTGTTGAAATTGATGAACTTGAAGGCAAGAAATGGTTGGACTGATGCTAATTTCACAGAATTGCTCGAATTGTTGAGTCATACTCTTCCAAAAGGGAATTCACTTCCAAATGGAATGTATGCGGTAAAGAAAATTGTGTCTGATGGGTTTGGAATATGCGAAGATACATGAATGCCCTAATGACTATATATTGTTCAGAAATGAGTATGAAGGGTTGAATAAGTGCCCTAAATGTGGCACTTTAACATACAAAGTGAAGAAAGATTGTGGTGATTATGATGAGATGACTAAAGGTCCTCTTTTAAAGGTATTGTGGTATCTTCTAATAATACCATGGTTTAAGCATTTATTTGCTAATGTCACAGAAGTAAAGAACTTGAGATGTCATTCAGATGAGAACACTACAAAAAAATATATATTTTCTAGTGGTTAAATTATCACGTTTCTAGCAGTTTTAACCACAATAAACAACATTTGTAGCGGTTAGAAACACCGCTAGAAAATCAAGTGTAAGAAACAGTTTTCTAGCTGTTAAGGGAACAACTATACAGTATGGTCAAAATGTCAGAATATTTCTAGCGGTTACATTAACCGCTAGAAAAAACAAGCAGGCATAAGAGAATGCGATGACGTCTGTAGCGGTTTAAAAATGCTAGAAAATTTGTGAAAATATTTGTAGCAGTTTGAAGAATCGTTAGAAAGTTTTGGACAAAATTAAATTTTGTTGGGAAATGAAATTTTCAAATTGGCACCAAAACTTTCTAACAGTTATTAACTGCTAGAAATTTGGTTTTGCAAAAATTTTCCCGCTTTTTTAAAATTTTTCTAGTAGTTTTTGAACTGCTACAAAATTTGTTCCAGGCAAAAAAAATTCAAATGTTTCATTATTATAAAATATAATATTATAAATTAAAAAACCATTAAATAGATTATATTAGAGAATTTATGTTAATATGTATATTTACCAATGTATTACATGTTATATATTTGAATTTTGGGATAAATAATAAGTAATTGAATTATTATTGTGTCAAATGAATTGAATTGAATTTAATAAGATAGTTGAATTGAAGATGGGATAGTTTATAATGTTGAACTTTAACTCTAATGTTGAGAAATGGTTGAATTAGTTGTGAAGGGCATGACAAATGTGAAGAAGAAAAATCTGATAGAAAAAAATAAATAAATATATTAGTAAAGTATAAATAAAGATAAATAAAAGAAATTAAAATTTATAAAATGGATACTATCTTACCATATAAGCGAGAGGAAAAAAACTATCATATGAGAGAGTAAGAAGAAAAGAGAGAATTATAAAGAAAAAGAGGAGAGGAAGGAAAAGAGATGGGGTAAATAAATAAGGAGGTAAGATGGTATTTATAGAGATCAGCGAGACTTTTTTAACGGTTGTTTACTATTTGCAGCGGTTTTATTAATTTTGTAGCGGTTGAGTAGTTTCTAGCAGTTCTGTAAATGCTACAAATTGTAATTTTTTTTATTTTTAAAAAACTGAACCAATTTTAATTTGTACAAATTTATTTATAAAAAAAATTATTTGAATGATAAAAATTTTTGAAACTGCTATTCTTGATCATCATCCTGCCTAAAAGGAGATATTAAAAAAATTGTTGTTAGAATTATAATATATTTAGAAAAAATTAGTAATTAGTAGTTAATTATTTAAATAATTTAAGAAAAGACATATACCTGATAATGACCAAATTATCATATCCTTGAGGAAATAATTTTTCAAAATTCATGGGTCGGAAGGATTCACTATTGTAAGTAATGTCACCATTACCCATATCATAAAAATCTCGTGGCTTAAGGTGAACGACCATATTCTAGTCTTTATGTTTCTCGTCGTCGACATAGTAAACCTAGTGTGCCTCGGAGGCAAGAATATATGGCTTATCATCTTCAGATTCCCCTGTATGAATGAGTCTGGAGCAATTAACAGAGATGATGCCCAAGTGGTCAGTAGTGAGTCCCCTTGAAGTTGTCGTATTTTCCCAGGAGCATTTGAACAGAGTTATGGTGAAAAACTGGTAACTTAACTCAACGATCTATAGTAAGTGACACCTCCAAAACACATATTGCCATCACTGCTGCTAGCATAACATCTTGTCTCGAATGTCCCGCAAACTCCAGAGTTTTGTGTCAGCAATCCCTGATCACGTCCAATCATACAGAACTTGAACCTGTTGACATTACACGCGGTAAACCTTCGTGCATGGTCTAACGAACTGAGAGAGAGTTTTGAATTCATCTGTGTATGGGCTGTTGTCATTACGTATTCAATGTGTAAACCAACCAGGAAACTCTTTGTTGACTCTTTTATCAATGTCAGTAGA